TTATTTATTATAATAACTTTTCATAACGGATTTTATCTATTCCAGGCATTCAAGCCTAGAAAGAAACCTTTATTGCTAATTTTCTGAATCCCATGCAAAGAATATTGAAGCATTATAAAAGTTTCTCACTGAAGTATAGCTGTCTATAGGTTTTTTATTTAATAGATCGGACTGATTTAATGATAAGCAATTATATGTATTTCTTCTAAGTCAAATGCAATCATGTTCTGGTAAAGAAAATGCTCCTTGTAAAATTCATTCCTCCGACAAGAGAATGATTGAGCTAGTCTTGGACGACTCCATTGTAGATTGAAGACGTCTAAAGTTAGCCAGACCTAGCCGTCATGAAAGGAAGTCGGCAGATTCAAATTGCCGTGTGCTGCAGTTGCAATAATAATAATTGGTGAGGTGGAGCGAGTAATAGGCCGCGGGGGAGCGCTCGTATATTCTGTCCTATATTTAGACGACAGATCGTAAGGATGTTGTGATTTATTTAATCACTGGCTTGTTACGCGAGACCTGCCACTCGTTGAAAATATTTCGAATGAAGTACGAGTATTTCCCTACGAGAACGATAGTTTGCTAAACTCGAACCTATCGATAATGACCTTTTTGAACAATGCATAAAGGGCAACTCATGTTTATAAAACACGTGTTGTTTGCGGCAGAAATATGATATAACAACTGACCGCTAACAGATTAGCGTTAAATGCGTGTGGACGTAATTTACCTCACGTCATTGAAGCGTCAGCATTGAGACGCCCATTTTATGAATCAGAATCAAGTCTGTTACAAGTTTTAATTTGATTCGTTTTTCGTTTCAGGTGCTGAGTTAAATTCAAGATGCGGCTTCGCCTGTACTCCTTCACCTTTGCGGTGTGCCTGCTGCTGGCGCCGGCGCTCGCTGGCGTGTGCCCCGACGGCTGTGTGTGCAGCACCACGCGTGACGGCCTCCACCGCGCTACCTGCAGCAACCTCGCCGAACTCTACAAGTTCACCCTCCGCCAGAAACATCACAACATCAACATCCTAGACCTCTCACACAACAATATAACCAAACTCACCCACGAACTCGACCGACTCACTGAAGTCGTTACACTAGATCTGTCCACTAACGGCATCACGAACCTCAACAAGTTCTTGCACAATGCGAAAAAATTAGTACACCTCAACTTGGCAAACAACAGGATACAAACGCTCTCTCTGACGCATTTGCCGACAAGTGTTAGTTCACTAGATTTAACTAACAATCTGTTGAAAGATGTGCCCTCAGACCTTGGACATTTAGATGGTCTAGAGCATTTAGAATTGGAGGGAAACCCTCTTAACTGTTCCTGTGAAAATATTATGGCACGAGATCGCTTGCTGCAGGCAAACGTATTAATCGATAGAGTCAAATGTTCCTCTCCAGTGAAATTAAAGGGTCGCTCTTGGTTAGAGCTAAAGACAAAAGACATTTGTAAAATTCCAAAATCTGAACCAAATTATCTTGATATGATGATGGGTGATCAAGCAATGGATGCGGTCCAAATCGGCGAACAGTCAACAGCTTTGAGATCTATGCCACTGGTGGCACCAAGTGATTTGGATGATGGCGAAGTTATTCATACTTCTAACACAGCTGAGGATGATGATAGCAAAATGTTTTTGAGAGTTGATCGTTCTACGTCATCATCACCCTTAGATGATATTGAAGGATCGGGTGAATTCGATACAGCCACAGTTCCTAATATCATAGAGCCTACTGTCAGTGTTAAACATGCTGCGGACATTTTAAGATCCGATGACGTATTGCCTGTGGAAAATGAACATAATACTGAAGACCCATTAGAAGGATCTGGCCAAGGATCGGGTTCAGGAGAATTTCCTCTGATTTTTGGTGACTTCATAGATAACGAACCAATAACAGAAACAACGGAAGCGGCTACAACAACGCCGTTGAAGGACTTAGAGGCCGGTCCAGTGACCAGACTTTTCGACGACGTAAATGATAGTTCTTCGGAATTTCCAATGCCTGAAATGCCTTCAGTCTACAAAGGCGATCGTAATTTTTACATGAATACCGACCCACCAGTTGTGAAAGAGGACCATGTGACACCACAAGTATCTCGAGATACGACAGTTTCAGAACATATACGAGTAACGCAGGCTTCGGAAAATCTCGGTGCAGCTCCCACTACAACAGATAAGGTACAACCACATAAAACCGGAACATATGTATGCATTGCTATAATCGTAGTTCTTCTAGTAGGTTTAATTGGATTTGCAATAGTCAAAGGGCAGATGAGAAAACGAAGAGACAGGAGGCTACTTAGACAACAGAAGCGAGATGTTGAAAAAGCATCGAAAGAAATGGTAGATATGAACAAATCTTTATTAGGTAAGCCTGCTGGCTTGGAAGCCCCAATTGAAAAGAAAGTCAATGGAAAATATGAGTTAGTACCAACCCATGAAGCACACCAAAAGAAAGGTGAAAACGGAGATTTATCAAACGGTGTTAAATATGGAGATAACAATGATGTAAGAACTGATAGCCCGAGAGATACAAATCAGAATAAAAGCAGTTCAAAGGACAACAATTTAGCAGGTGAACCACATCCTCAGCAAGAAACGTCTTTTGAGTCGGCACCAGCGTCGCCTGATTCTCGGAAAGATACCAACTCGTTGTCCAGCGAGGATATATTTGTGCCTTCAAATGACGATGAGACTCCTCGTCTAAACGGCACCCTCGATTTAGATGTATCGCAGCCTTTGATGAATGGGGACCAAATCACAGATTCCGATTTCTTATCGCCTACGCGCGAGTACGTCCCGGTGTATTCGCCTGATATGGGCCGCGTTCGCATCAAGTTGTCGGAGACTCCCAAGCCGAAGACGCCAGTCCTAGTCACCAGAAGTAGGTCCAACGCTGGGGACATCATCATCACCCCGGCGGACAACACGCGCAAGTCGACCACCTGAGACGCGGTCGTCCCCTGACGGACTATATTTAGTGTTAAACGGTGTCAATCAATACTACTTCACTATTGGCGAAATTCTGTGATTATTTTGTAAGCATATTCCAGGGAACTATAGTGCGATGGACTGATTTTGGTATGAGTGTAACGTCAAAAAACTTTGCTGCCAAAGTGTGTTTGTAGTCGACAGTGCCTTTATTTTTAACATTATTAGTGGTATAAATATTTATGAGAGTATATTGCGCAATAAGTAAACATATTTTTGTACGTGTAAAGATGTTGCCATGTTCATGATAGTATAATGGTTTCGTTTTAGTAAATCCACTTCGTAAACGTTAATACGACCAACGCATGTTGTACAATAGTTGATTGTATTCTGATAGTTTATTCTAGTTATCTCTGTTTTCGGTACTTTGAATGGTGAAATTTCAATGGTTGTGTACTTATCCGCAAACAAATAGAAAGTTTAAGAACAACGAAATCTGGCTATGTTTGTTTCTCACATTTTCCCATAGATTTTCTCTATGGTCTGGCTAAGCATAAGTTCCTTTATAAGTTATAATATTGTGTAGTTATAAGAATGTGATACCATTTATTATAAGATACACATGATAATTCACATTGTGTAAATATATGATTGATTGTAATATTGTTTGAATTTTGGTTCTAGTGTACATTTGTCTAGCTCTATTATTCGTGAAATTATTTTATTTTGTAATTATGAACTATTGCTTTTCTATAGTTATCTGTATTAATTTCGCTTCGCACGTCTTTGACTTTTGTACGTTTAAGTAATTTATAAATGCTGTAATAAATGTTATTTTAAACCATTCTGAATTTTACAAGCGAAACCGAAAGAACAAAATAGAGAACAATACTGGTTCAGTAAGAAGATTTATAAATGATGTATTTTTATTTCGAACTATACGATATAAATGGTTGAATCAAGTTTTTGTTTCCTTTACTTCCAAATATACCTAAACAGCTTAAAAGTTTGAAGTATTAACAATATGAAGAAAGCTAGGCAAAGATATTATCTACATTATATTGAGTGCTACCGCACTAAAATATTTACATATTCAAATACAATGCAAATAGATAGAGTAGAGAAACAGAATGAAAAATATTATTCGGAAATATTGGTATTGAAATTGGGTAAAAGACCCAAGGCTGCAACTAAAGCTTTTATCGTGAAAAAGTGAATTCTACTTATAATACCATGATAATGAATCATAACTATAACTCAAAGTAGTTATGTAAAGGCATATTATTTTCATTGAGAGTACCTACCTACTAACTTAATTCAATGATTGCATCTTAGTTACATTTAGAACCTTTTAAAAAGCTTGAAACTACATTATGTGAGGATAGTTACACTATTTTTAAGTTATGAACAGCTGGACCGAATTTAATTATCCCTAAAATTCTGAACTGAAAACTTCAAAAAACTATTTTGTTAAACTCGTGATGGCGGCAGCACTGTCGCCGAAAATATTCACTAACTGAACTGCCAGCGCCATCTTGTACGAGAGTACTGAACTAGCACCTTTCGCCCCGACTCAGTCACTTGTTTCAGCTATCAAAATGTGTGAAAATGTATTGTTAGACATGGAATTCAGATGACGCTGCGTTAGTTAGTATTAATAAAAGTTAGTATAATAATAATAACATTTACCTATATCTCTGAAGAAATTTTAAAATGACTAATATTGATTGTTTTGTAAATAGTAAAACATTTGACTAGAGTTTTGTAATATGGTACATTTAATTAATAGGGGGCACTTCTATTGATTACAATTACGTGAAACAACACATTTTATAAACGTTTATTTCATTCAACTATAATAATAAGTCACACACACTTATAAACTGCTACAGAAATATAAAATTTAAATTCATAAGTTAGGATAAAAAGACAACACTACAAAAATAAATATAATTTTTCAAATATAAACCTAAGGTACCTATACTAATCGGTAGTTTAGTATGACTCATTTCTTACACATCATATTTTTTACATTTTGAGAAATAATATTATACACGTGGAATCGATCTTATTTATTTTTCTAATGTGTAAAAAGGAACATTGATTAATCATAACAACAAGGACACATTCCTAACATAGGTATAAATAACAAGTATTATACACAATTTTAAAAATTACTCTCCCTTGGTTCGTCGCCGCCAGAATGCCTGCGATTCCTAGGTCTTTCCATTTCTGCTTCTATTTCTATGGTCACAGAGTCATCTCCAGCTTCGTATTCTGACACTTGTCTTCTACGAGCCCCCGGTGAGTGCTCAAGTTCAGCTATTTCATGGCTACCAAACCGTCTTGGTGGCCGTCGTCGCCTCCTCCTATTATTATCTGGCGTCTCACTTAGTTCTGTGTCTTCAAACACAGGCAAATCTCCATTTCGTTCAGTTTCATCCAGCAAATCCCCGCTGGATTTAGTTTTTCTGCGACCTCTCCGTTTCTTAGTCTTCCCGGTTCCGGCATCACAAAGGGAATGTGTTGAGGAATTTAGCTTAGGCATGGTGAGAGCTTCGTCATAGGAAGGTGGTGCAATCAAATCTCGAGGATCTGGGGCATTAATTAAGGATTCTTGCTCAGCCCGCAGTCTTAGTTGCCTCAAACGATCTCTTGCTTCTTCCACCTGCCTTTCTCTTTCTGCTTGAATAGCACGCAACCTCCGTTTCATTGAATTTCTTATACAATTGACCAATAATATACACAAGGCTAATCCTGTTATCATGACAACGATAAACCAAATCAAACTATCTGCATTTGCGACATTTTGGGTGGGATACCATATGAAGTAACAAGCTTCCAACCAAGCTTGTCCGATAACATTTACTGGACTGCTACATACAAGGTTGTATGATTCTTCTTTTTTGAAGGGTTCTAAAGTAACGAATTCAAAAAAATCATACATGTTTGCATCTCTACAATCACACCTCCACATATTGTCACTTAAGTCCAGTCTCTCCAAATAAAGGTTTGAGTCAAAATAAGCCTTATTCCAGACATTTGTGAATCGGTTTCCAACTACAGCTAGTCCTGTCAAGCGCGGAAGCATGAAAAATGTAAAATTGTTAACCATGGAAAGTCTATTGTAGTTTAAATTCAAGTACTTCAATGTATTAGACGAAATACTATCAGGGATATGAGATAGTAAGTTACGCGATAAATCTAGGTCTATAAGTGATTGCAAGCCTTCTAGTGAATCTTTACCTATCGTATGAATTTCACAAGCACTCATATCTAATGTTGTGAGTGAGGTGGATTTTATATGTCCAACCTGGTTTAGATAATTCCTTGCTAGTTTTAATTGACTCAAAGAAGGCATCTCTAACAAAGCACCTTCTGGAATCATCCCTATTTCATTCCATGATAGGTCTAAGTATTTCAATAAACCTAGTCCCCGAAAAGTATCAACCTTTATTGAACCAATATTATTGTAAGATAAGTCCAGATACTCTAATTTGGTATTATTTATAAATTCATAGCTTCGTAAAAACCTAATCATATTATGATTTACAATAGCTTTTTTTAAATTAGGAAAACCGTTAAGGTTTGGTCGTAAAACATTACAATAGGATATATCTAAAAACCTTAATGATGTGGAGTGTAAGTCTGCGAGTTCCAGTCGGTAGTTATGTGCCATCAGCAAATGGATCAAAGATGGTAAATATGATAGTTCATTTTGTTCTATTGATGTAAGCTGGCAATTGTTGACATATAAACTTCTTAGTGTAGGCGATATCAAGCCTTGTAGTGTTACTAAAGGATTATAATTTAGTTTCAAGACTTTGATGTTACCTAAGCCACTTAGCATAGAATTTCCAGATATTGATTCTATCTCGCAATGGTCCATTATTAAGGTTTCTAGCGAGGAGCTTATCAACAATTCTATTTTTGCTAAATTGTCCATAGATTTGAATCTATTATAAGACAAGTCTAATACTTTCAAATGCACAGCTGGAACAAGAAAATCGTTGGGGCTCATGGTTATCCAGTTTTCTAAGTAATTTCTTGACAAATTAAGTTCTTCCAGAGCCGAGAGGTTTGAAAGTCCATTTTTAGGCAGTTCCGTGAGTCGGTTCCCACTAATATCCAATTTGATCAAATTAGAGAGTTTGCTTAGTCCTTCAGGAAAAGTGGTGATTTCATTGTTTGATATGTTCAGTTTTTTGACCTGAAATGTTATAATAAATGAAATTAATAAACGATAATACTTATACATATTATAATATCCTAACAGTTGCTTTCTTTACTTGGAATAATAAAATTTTAAATTACCTTTGCATTAAGGCCACCAGGAAGATCACGCAGTCCTCTCCGAGAACAGTCTATTTCTGTATGTCCTTCGTTACACGAGCAGATGTAGCACAAGTCATTGGGGCTTTTGTCTTCAAAGTCCAAGACTTCTGCCGCCACTGCCCATGCGCACAGCAGAAGACAGACCGTGCGTTGAAAATTCATCACGTCTTTTTGTCATTACTGTCTGAAACCAATAAAATTGGCTCTTAGTTATTAATTTGTTGTAAGCAATTTGTTCACGTATTAAGGTCAAGAATCCACCAGCCTATTTGGTTTGAACACCTGCACCCTACAGTTTTTCCAGTCACGTACTACCGTATTACTCCAAAAGAGTTTGGGGCACACCTTACATTAAATCTGCATTGTCTATGTATACCACACACAATTTTATCTTTGTTATCATTTGTTGATAACAATGTTGTAGGTTGTGGTACCTTAATTTGGGTCGTTTCGCGTTTTGAGCGTACCTTATCATGGTTATGAATTAAACGGATTATAAATAAGTATATTTTTCTCCCCCTTAATTTTTTATTTTGTCTATGATACTAACAATGTTTTCAAATTAAAAATAATGGAGTAAGAAAATGATTCTTATTAAAAAAAATAACTTGTTATATTTTATGCCGGTACGGTTTCCTATGGGTAAATCAGCTCCTTGAATAAATGTTTTTTGAGACACATTTCGTTGGAGGAGAAAAATAACGCTCTATCTGTATAGTTCGGGTATGCAAGTCTTAATTTTTTTTACTGGACTCTTTTTGATCTAGTAGTGGTCAACGATGAAACGGAATGGAATCGTTATTTGGAATCCCTACAAATACACTTTTAATTGTAGTAATAGATCAATCATTCAAGTCATCGATGAATGACGAATGTTACACTTGGTTGGAAAATCACTTAATTAAAAAAATAAATTACAAATATGTAGCAAACTTACCTGTTTTTTCCTGCTTATTTGTATGAAAATAGTTACTTTTAGATTTATTTCTTATGAGTCACACAAATCCGAGCAGCACTTGAGGACGGAAACGATTACTATCCAGTTTTAATGACTATTTTTAACACTAACACCGACCACTAATGGATGTTGTTTAAGCAATTATTTGACACGGATAATTAACTAACAAAACTCATATTTATTTTTTTATAACTTGTACGTCCAGACCCGGTCATTGCAGTACATTGTATGAGACAGAATCCAATTATGACGTGTTATCATTAGATAAGGATAAAGAATGGCGAAAGTGTTGTAATCTAGTCCTACACTTGGATTGAATAGCTTTGTAAGCATAAATACAGACAAAATAAAATATATTTTTAAATACCATTACTTTCGTATTGCCTTTAGAAAATTTAATAGGATTGCTTAGAGAAAATAAATCAAAACAAATAATTATTATTCTAAGTTCATAGTATGTTTCAATCAGAAAAATATTTTTGTGAATGTAATTTTGCAGTTATGCTGTCTGAGAAAAAAGCTATTACCTACCTATTATTATTATTTTTCATAAAGATCCACATTACATAAATAGTGACATCTGTCACATTGGTATGAAACTACTTTAAAAGACTATAGAAACATTAGTTTTAGTAAAAAAGATATAGATGGCGTTAAAAGTTCCAAAAAATATTCGTTTCATTTCCTCTTCATACAAATTCATAGATTGCCTTTACTTATTCAGTGTAAGGTATAAACCCAGGGTAAAAGTTAAATAAAATCATAGTCAGGTCCTAAGAATTTATTCAATTTAAAAATAAATAAGCTAAGAGTAATAAGGTTTTTCTTCCAACAGAAATAATTAAAATTATCGTTAAATTAAACTTATTTCTACGCACATAAAATTATTATTTGTAACAAAATATTATAAATTACTTATAAGTCTAAATTGGCATTAGCGTGTATTTGAAGGGTACGCCTCGTAGACCGTCTGTCGTGCGTCCTGGGCCGCGACTCAGTGAGGTCTCCAATGGACCTGGACCTGCGGAACATGCGAGTTCTCTCTTCTTCTTCCTCCTCCTCAACAAAGTCAGGCAGAGAGTGGAAAGAGCTGCGCAGTCGAGGCATCAACAACGCATCCTCGTAGCTCGGAGGCAAATCCTCCTCCCGCAAAGGAACTCTCCGTACCACGGCATCCTCTGCAGGCTGCGCTGTACCATTGAGATTCACAACAGTCGTCTGAGCAGTCTGTCTCGGCGTCCGAGACCCACTCGCTGCCATAAGTCCTCGACAAATACAAGACGTCACCACTACACCTATAATAATCCCTATGAACACCGCAAACGACGTGTACGACACTGTAGACACCTCATTTGGATGCCATGTCCTAATATACGCCTGCTGCCAACTCATCTGAGTCACGTTAGCGGGCGAATAGCATATCAGCGACGCCCTGTCTTTTATCTTCGGTGGATCTCTTGTTAAAAACTCATAAGTCAAGAGGAGGTTTAAATGGAAACCTTCACAACTCCATCGATTACCTTTCACTTGGATCTCCCTCAAAAACGGGTTTGAGGCGAAGTGTGAAGTGGACCAAACCTCCTTGAAATCGTTGCCCCTCAAATTCAATACTGCCAAATGCGGTAATGATACGAAGGTGTCGTCAGTGATAGAAGATATGTCATTGTAACTCAAATCCAATTCTTGCAGAGTATTCGATGCAAAATTATCTGGAATTGACTCTATCTGATTCATGGAAAGATGCAGTTCCACGAGTGAGGACATTCCGGCCAATGCATCTTTTTCTAAGTTTGAAATCTGACAGCTATTGAGATGCAAAGTTTTCAGAGAATTCGTCTGAAATGAAGGTAGGGTTGCGAAGTAATTTCTGCACAAATGAATTATTTCTAGAGAATGTGTGTTTGCAAATATTTGTGGTGGTAGGTCATTGATTCTGTTTTCAGTTAAGTCCAGAAATCTTAGCTGGGGCATTCTGGAGAAAGCAGCTTCGTCTATGTTGTTTATTTTGTTCCTTGATAAATCTAGCCTTGTAATGCTGAATATGCGACCGGTGTCGACCCAGACTCCATAGTTATTGTTTGATAAGTTGAGCGTGTTCAAGCTGTTCATATTTCCGAAATAGCTGGGTAATGGACTGCTGAGATGGTTGGCCGATAAATCTAGAGTTTCCAGCCCTGTGAATCTTTCCAGTTGTGGTGGAAACGATATGAAATTATTGTTGGACATTATCAGCACCTTAGCCTGGAAAAATAAAAAACTAGAATTATTAATAATAAAGTAGCCATGTCAGGACTTCTATAAATTTTGGAACGTAATTGTAAGTGATATACTTTTGTAAATAGATAAGAATGAGGGAAATGAAGGAATTGTCCAGGACGAACGACTTATTTTTATCAAACATTCAACAATCTTGTTATTTTCAAAAGTAACCTTAATGGACAATAATTGGTTTATAATTCAAAAAATAACGTTTATTATCTTCTCTTACGACTGCTATTGCTACTCACTTCGTAATTAAGATCTTCAGGCAGTTCAGTCAGCTCTCGGTCCGAGCAATCCACGAGTAACTTAGAGTTTAGAATGTACGTGAGGCATTGTGGCAGGTCTGCCTCTACCTCCCGCGTTCGCCTTATTGGTCCTCCTTTTGTTAGTGGCAGAAGCCATATCGATATCACCAGGGTGAGAAATTCGCCTGAAAATTAAAAAATAATAGCAATTGTAGATTAAAAGTGTATTTATGTGTGATTATTTCAACTCAAATGCTAGTTTTGGACCACATTGAGTAGTTTTAAGTTTAACGATATGTAGAGACGATAGCCCGTCATCTTAAATGAAGTTGAGATTAAATAAAATACTCATTTTGGGTCACTTATATTTATAGATGACCCACAAGGTGGACCGACGAGATATCGTCTTTCCTGCTACCTTTATGATAATAAAGGTAGCAGGAAAGCGCTGGACGCAAGCCGCTACCAACCGGGTAACATGGAAAGCATTGGGGGAGGCCTATGTTCAGCAGTGGACGTCTTAGGGCTGATATGATGATGATGATTTTTAGATGAACTATGCAAACTTAACCTGTTTTAATTAGATACTATTTCAATTTAATAAATCATCAATACCGGCTTACTTTTTCCGATCTTTGCGATTTGACGTTTCAAAATCGTTCAACTATAGGTACAAATTATAATCTCGCTGGAGTCTAATGACGTATGACATATTAATAATGTCTGGTAGCTATAAATGGCAATAGCCATATCGAGATGGCTAAATAGAAATTCGCATGAAAAAGATAAATATTATCATACTTTATATCAAGCTCGTTGGGACAGTATTATCTACTCACTGGGGATTGTATTTTTCCACTTAAACTGGATAAGTTTATTTATTAATGTTTAGTACTTAGTTTAAAAACATAAATATAACGTGTGTTTAAAGCTTACTAGCTCATGATTATTTACCTATTAACTAATCATATTGTATGATGTTTGTATAATATAGTTACGATAAAAACAATAACATAACCTAACTTCACCTATTTTAATAAAGAGGTACCTTTTGCATACTAATTAATAACAGATTTAAAAAACAATATTATAAATCGCTATGTTAATACCAGAGCCAGCGATATCACTTTTAAAACAAAGAACTAAACAATGGAAATCCGAAGTTTTTCCATTTTCAAAATTAGTAAAAAACAACTACAAAAAAATACAATCATTAGTGTTTTGTTTCAAGTACTCACCAGGCCCCATGTCATTTATTATCTGTTGCACATTTTACGTCAATGTCCACCCACGCACGAAAATGAAAATCCAATTTTCACACACACAATTTTCCACTAACAAAAATATTATTCACTATTGAATTCTAAAACATTATTTCTTCAAAACCACTCGTATATGGACTGGGTTTGCCAATACTCACATCGAATATGGAGATAGTAAACTTAGTACGAGGTTGGTCCCAAGATAGTCCCGAATACAGGTTGTTTTCGACGTTTCACAGCAATAGCCAAAATCGTACATCTATCTACGCGATTCTTATCACTGTCATTCACTACTGAGCTATCAAAATATAGGGTTGTTAATGTAAATACATTTAGTTTTAGCGTTATCAGGATGGTTTTTGTATAATTTTTATTTACATGGTTTTCGCTTTAGCCTGTGCATACGTGAATTTTCGAGATGGAATGACTGACAGATAGTGGATTCTTTATTGTTGACATAACAACATAATAGAATGTTGGATTTATCATGTTGATTAAGATCGCTCTTATTAGTTTTAGATCTAAAGATCTTCTCATTTCAGAATGAATTTAGTTAATAGGTACGAAACCATAAATTATTTCATGCCTAATAAGGAAAACTTTTACAGAGCAATGTTACTCTTTATGTACCGTAGAGCTTACGACAGTACATTATAGTAAACAGTCAAATGGAATCTAAATCTACGAGTACTAAATAAGTTTTACAACATATAATAAAGTAACCTTTTGAAAATGTCTATGAAAATTCTAGGAAAATACCATTGTTCTTACATCTATTTATTACTTTTCAACTTACTACATAAATGTCAAAAAAAGTTTTGAATGCGTGAATAGCGAGTAATTAATTTAATAAGTACCTACCTAATAGCTACAACTGGTTTAAAATAGAATTTCTAGAGCAACCTGTATATTAGCTTAGCGTTATCGACGCAGTTTTATCACTGATTACGTATCGACTTATCACCGAACCCAAAGAAATATATCTGTTACTATCAGTAACAAAAATACGTGAATAGGTTACTCATGCCCTAACAGTATTTCGCGTTATTCATATACCGTTGTGTAACGATTTATTGTTTAATGTTATACCGTTGTTATAATTAAATTTTCTTTCAGTTTGTACTAATTTATTTTCTATAGTTTCAGAGCTTTAGGCTGTAAGATTCAGTAAGAGTAAGATTTTCATGATAAATGCTGCGTACGTCCCCAAGTAATTGCAAACAGCGAAATAGTGTATAAGAACAACCCCACATAGGAACAACTATGAAAGATTAAATTTTGCAATGTTTACGTACAAAATGGGGGCTGGTGTAACGTACACCATAAACTTTCCAGACATTTTAGATTTCTGGATTATCTATACTTATAATAAATCTGTAGAGAGGTCAATTCTGTACATGAAATATATTTTCAAAATAACTGTTAGGGGGTGATTAGTGATCGATACTGATGCCAAAAATGCAATCAGTAAAATTTTTGTCTGTCTGTCTGTCTGTCCGTCTGTATATTCCTTATAGAAACAAAAACTACGCGACGGATTTTAACGAAACTTCGTACAATTATTCTTCATATAAGGAATTCCCGAAATTCCCACGGGAACGGGAATTCGCGGGAAAAGCCTTTTGTATGAAAAATCTAAACCGCTTAAGTTAGACACTTGAAATTTGGCATGTAGGTACCTTAATAAACTTAAAGTTTAGTTAAAATAATCAATTCCCGAAATTCCCATGGGAACGGGAATTAGCGGGAAAATCCTTTTTTATGAAAAATCTAAACAGATTAAGTTAGACGCTTGAAATTTGGCATGCAGGTACCTTAGTAAACTTAAAGCTTAGTTACAAAAGGATATTGCAAAATTCCCACGGGAACGGGAGTTAGCGGGAAAAAACATTTGTATGAAAAAATCTAAACCGCGTAAGATAGATGAAGGGGGTAACACGCGTACGAACGAAGTCGCGGGCGGCCGCTAGTTTATATTATGTCGTCTGAATAGATATCATTTTTATGTCGCACGATAGAGCGACCCAATACGGCCTCTCATGATTAACATCTGTAATAGCTGAAATCTGAATCAATCTAGCTATCAGTATAAAAAATCATTAATCGGAATAGGTATGTCACTTTCAATATGTTTAGCAAAATTTGCATAAAATTATTTAATCATGTTTGAAAGAGAAATTAGTACAAACTTTCTAACTTCTATTATAATCTATATTAATTCAGTCTAGTATTTCCAATATCCATTGAGTACCCTAAAAGCANTTTTTGTATAATTTCTATTTACATGGTTTTCGCTTTAGCCCGTGCCTACAGTTATACACACGTGAATTTTCGAGATGGGATGACTGACAGATAGTGGACTCTTTATTGTTCACATAACAACATAACAGAATGTTAGATTTATCATGTTGATCGCTCTTATTAGTTTTAGGTCCAAAGATCTTCTCATTTCAGAATGAATTCAGTTAATAGGTACGAAAACATAAATTATTTCACGCCTAATAAGGAAAACTTTTGTAGAGCAATGTTACTAAATCTACGAGTACTGAATATAAGTTTTACAACATACAATAAAGTAACCTTTTGTCGTTGAAAATGTCTATGAAAATTCTAGAAAAAAACCAGTGCTAAGAACTCGTTCGTTCGTTCGTTTCAGCCGAAAGACGTCCACTGCTGGACAAAGGCCTCCCCCAAGGATTTCCACAAAGACCGGTCCTGCGCCGCTCGCATCCAGGCGCCTCCCGCGACCTTCACCAGATCGTCGGTCCACCTAGTGGGAGGCCTGCCTACGCTACGTCTTCCGGCTCGTGGTCGCCACTCAAGAACTTTTCTGCCCCAGCGGCCGTCAGCTCTACGAGCTATGTGCCCTGCCCACTGATTAATTTACCACCACTTAATTTTAGCGATTCTGCGGGCTTTCAGTCACTCTGGTTCTCCTACGGATCTCCTCATTTCTGATTCGATCATGCAGGGAAACTCCGAGCATAGCACGCTCCATCGCTGTTTTGAATAGCGAGTAATTAAATTAAAAGTGCCAACCTAATAAGCTACCTACAACGGGTTTAAAAAATAATTTCTAGAGCAACCTGTATATGAGCTGAGCGTTATCGACGCGGTTTTATCACTGATTACGTATCGACTTATCACCGAACCCAAAGAAATATATCTGTTACTATCAGTACAAAAAATACGTGAATAGGTTACTCATGCCCCAACAGCATTTAGCGTTATTCATGTACCGTTGTGTAACAATTTATTAAGGCTGAGTTGCATCACCTAATTTTAACCGTAACAATAACATTAACCAGTACTTTTTGTATGGAGTTTGACAGATTTTTGACGTTTGTCAAAGTTAAAGTAAGATGGTGCAACTTGATGGTGCCTTGATGTTATACCGTCGTTATTAGGTATTAAATTTTCTTTCAGTATGTAACTAATCTATCTTCTATAGTTTCAGAGCTTTAGGCTGTAAGATTCAGTAAGAGTAAGATTTTCATATTAAATGTTGGGAACGTATAAATAAATAGTGTTATAATAAGAACAAACCCATATAGTAACAACTGTGATAGATTAAATTCTACAAAGGGGGGGGGGGGGGGTGATGTTAAGTCACCTTAAGCTTTTCTGATAATTGTAGGTACACAGGGAGCAAAAATAATGATCATATAATCATATTGATTTCTGGATAATTTAACTATTATATCGTCTGAATAAATATCACTTTTATATCGCATGATAGAGCGACCCAATACGGCCTCTCATGATTAACATCTGAAATAGCTGAAATCTGAATCAATCTAGCTGTCAGTATAAAAACTCATCAATCGGAATGTGTGACTTTCAATATGTTTAGCAGAGTTTTTTAAACTTTATATGCATAAAATTATTGAATCATGCTTATTAGTTTTTCCGTGAAAGATAAATTAGTACTTTTCAAACTTCTACTTATTATGATCTATTAGGTATTAATTCAGTAGTATTTCCAATATCCATTGAGTACTCTAAAAGCAAAGCAAATTTTGAATATCCAAGAAAACATTTTCCGAGAAAATCCGAGCCTTTTGAATTCCATGGAAAATCCTAAGTGCCCTTGGATTATAAAGCCAGGTGCGGGTTTTAGTGAGACGACACGTCAACTCGCGTTCGAGCGCCACGGTTGTCTGAACTTGTTAGGGCTTGTGACCTATTTACCCCCCTCCTGGAGTGGGGTGGGTAAGACGCCGTGATAAGCCCCGTCGATTAAAATTCGAAGCGAAGCTGAAGAACGCTTTGTTATTGATTTCGAGATGTATTTTCACAATGAGCGCAATCGTGATTGTGATTCTTTTCGAGTGAATGTTTTGTTATTTAGATGTTATTAAAGATAATTGTTTCTGAGGGCTACTAATCTGTTCAAATTTTATCACAATGAAAATATCAGTTATCATAATAATCTGTGGATCTAATAAACTTAGGTAGTACAATTTCCATGGTAACAAACTTGTTTAACTAGAAAATAAACTTTAGAAAAATGTACTTTAGCACTTATCGGAAGATATCGAGGAGAGATAACGCAAAAACTCAATTATCTTTTCATCTTCTCTTTTATTTTAGGGAATTCTATGAAAACTTATATGTATGTAGAGCATTAATTTGTTCTACATATAATTTTCACTGAATCAAACCTTTTTAATATAAACTAACAGCAATTTTCCAGTTCTCACTTACTTCAGTTACCGAAATAGATTTCCAGGTGTCCACTCCATTCGAATCCTATCAACATTCAATTTTCATCATTTGTACCTCACACCAAAGCATAGAGAGGTACAGACTCACTTCGGTATGAGGTAGAATTTCGCATTATAGAGACGGGCAAACTTAAAATTTGTATCGCCGCGAGTTCAATAAATAAGGATAAAGCGGCCATTAGGAGTCGGTCCAGCAAATCTCCGGTCGCCGAACACCACTTACTTAGACTTAAAGTGTTCCGGGAGCTATTTTGTTAAAGATTTGGGATAGCGACGACCATTTTGATATATTTTGCGACGTAATGGCGATGTCGATGGTGTTTTTAAAAGGTACTTTTTGGTTAAAGTAGAGCCTACCTACTTAGCAACCTGTATTTTTCTTTATATTGTATTTCAAACTACACTTTATTCATTTCTGTTTAATAAATACAAATTCTATTGATAAGTAATCGTAGTCCTAAGGATCTGGAATAATTGAAACTTGTACTGTTACTTAAAGATTAAGTAGGCAAATTCTAGTTTT